AGCTATTGCAAATCCAGATTGCTTTATGTAGCACTTTGAACCCTAATCAGACCATGGAAGATTCTGTCGTATGGTTGGCATGTTCATCGGGGACATTTAAAACAAGGAGCACCTAGAATCATTTGAGGGAGAAGCACACTAAGGTACACTGGTCAAGACTGGTTTGGTTTTCAAATTCTATACCACGACATAATTTCATGTCTTGGCTTGCTACACTCGACAGGCTTTCAACTAAAGCACAGCAGAAGTCATGGTCACCTCATATTGATGATACTTGTGTGTTTTACAACACTGCAAGTGAGACAAGCGATGGAGCAGCGGCATCAAAGCTGTGATGTTGCTACCACAAAATAGCAAAATAGTGCAGCAAGAAGCTGCATTTATGGGAGAAAATGTGCAGCAATAAAGCTGCTTCAATGGAGGAAAGAAAGATGCAGTAAACTGTTGCATTATGGAAGAAAATGAAATGCAAAATGCAAATGAAGGCTGCAAATTAGTCAACAAAAGTGTAGCAATGTGATAGTGTTTCAATGTACCTTTTATGTTAGTTTATATATTACAATCTTTAATTAAATGTTAGAATAGATTTTGCAGGAAACATGGAGCCATAAATCATGGAAAGTAGGTGAAAAATATTGTTTTTATCTTCTACTATAAATGGGCAAACATGTTACTAGAAACATGAGAGAGTTGGAGAACAATTTCTCCTCTCCTCCCAGTTGAGTGAATGTCTGCACCCTTCCTAGTGTATATTCTATATCATGTTCTAATTTCTACTCTTCCCCTACTCTCCTCCAAGTCCTCTCTCGACCCCTTCTCCTTACCTCAAAAATCTAACAAAGAAATCATCTGTTCTTCTCATGTTCCTATTCTAAGCAGATTTGGGGACAAAATTTCCTCTATGTTGGAGGTCCCTTCTACTCCTTCTTGGCAGCCTCTTTTCACTTGGTTATCTCAAAAGGCCAAGCATAAGGCAATGTATAGTAGTTTGATACAACTAGCTTGGTGTGCAGCAATCTACCACATATGGATAGAAAGAAATGCCATAATCTACAAGCAATTTTTCATGGTGAGTCTGTAGTTGTGGATAAGATTTAAGCAAATGTTCGAGATAGGGTCTTAGATTTACGAAGGAGAAATTTGTTAGGGCAAGTGTATCTCAAGATTATCCTACATGATCTACACTCAATGACACCATGATTCCAGGATTTAGTCAATCTGTAATTTATGTGTTTATTAAATCGTATCATATATATTATTTTGGTATCAGTTAGGATTTTGTGTTAGTGCTTCTGTATATATATTGTTTACAAGACAACAATAAAATACAATAGTTTGCCTCTTTCAGTCTTTATCCTATTAGTGGTATCAAAGCACTCCATGCTTTCACAAGTCTTGATCATGGCTACCCAACTTTGCTGCATCCAAAACCTCCCCAAACTTTGCTACAACTGTCCTCAATCCTGGCCTCACCAAAAACCCCCTGTCCTTTAATTCAGCCGCATTCCCTGTAAAGCTAATGTCCACTAACTATATGTTATGGAGGGCTCAATTTACTTCTTTGCTTACAAGTTATGAACTAGATGGCTATCTCAATGGCAAGAACCCTTGTCCAGTTGCAACCACGTTGGAGTATAGCTTGTGGGCTCGTCAAGATCAATGTGACATCATTATCTTATCATCTCCGTCTTAGAGAACATCACCGCTTATATTGCCATTGCTGCCATAGTGCAACAGGCATGGGAAATGTTAGCAAGGCTCTATGCTAATCATTCTCGCACTCGAGTGATCACCTTGAAGGAACACCTCCAAAACATGAGATGTGATGCCGTTCTGTCACAGCCTATTTACGTGGTCTCAAATTACTGCTACTGATAAATTGAGAACTATTGATCATCCATTCAATAATGATGATCTTACAGTTTATATTCTCAATGGTCTTGGACCTGAGTTTCGAGAGATTACAACTCCTCTCTGAGCACGGGACTCCTCTCTTTCCTTTGATGGCTTGCATGACTAATTGGTAGCTCATGAAGAATGTCTCAAACGTGAAGAAGCCCACCTTGAGATCACATCGATGACCACTCATTGTGTTGCTACTTCCTTTAATTACAGTTTTGATTCCTTGTCTTCATTAAGTGCAGGCAACTCTCCAACCTTTCTTGGCCGCCACCCTTAATAGGTATTCCATGGAAATTGGAATGGGTAGAACTATTCTAATCGTGGCAATCAAAATCAACGTCATAATTTTAGCCCTAGGCCCATAACTCGACCCACCAATTCGGGATGCCAACTATGTGGCCGTGTAGGCCACTTTGCTAAAAACTGCCCCAACTAAACTGTCCCAACTATCGCATGCAAGCTCTTGGGCCTATGGCAAATTTGGCCTACTCCTCTACTGCTTTTTCTAATGATTGCCTCTTGGATTTTGGTGCCGACAACCACCTCACCATTGGCTTGCCTAACTTGGCACTTCATTTTTTAATACAATAATCTTAGTGAACTCCATGTTGGTGATGGAACTTGCTTAAAAATCACACGTGTTCCTTCTAGCTCTCTTAATTTCATTTTTGTCTTTCAATTACATAAACATATCAATGTTTATATCAAATTTCACACTAATTTCTTTTTGGCGAGGGATTGTTGCATGAATGAGATACTACTCCAAGGGCCAATCATTCACGGCATCTATCAAATACAACACAAGTAGGAGATAGTACTTCTTTAGTGATTTGGCATTTACGATTAGGTTATTCTATAACAAGACCCTAAAACAAATTATTAATATTTTCAATTTGTTTTTATCTAATAAACTATAGTTTTCTAATAGACTACAATTTTCATCATGTGAATCTTGTGCTTGCTCCAAAAGCCATAAGCTTCCTTTTTCCAATTCTTCAATTACAAAGTCTCCACTTGATAATATGTTTTTTTGATGTGTGGAGCCCTACACCTGTCACCACTTTTGATGGGGTTTAATTATTTTTGTAGTTGTATGGCTTTATCCTATTAAACACAAATCCTTATTTTTCATCTTTTAAAGATCTTGTTGAAAATCAGTTTAGGTGCAAAATAAAAAACTTGCATACTAATGGGGGCATATATGTTGCCCTTTGTCACTTTCTTTTTACAACAGGGATGTCTCATTTTACCACCCCTCTTTGTACAACGGAACTCAACGGGTTCAATGAACAACACAACCATCATGTTGTCGAGATTGGTCTCGCACTGCTTCACACTATCTCCTTCCACTCAAGTTTTATACTTATGCCTTTCAAACCTTTGTTTACTTACTTAACAGACTCTCATCCTCAATTCCCTTCGCATTTGCCTAGACATATTGCTGTAAAGTGGGGACTGGAAATTTTTTTTGTAAAGATTGACATACCGTAGTTTAGTGCTGTTGTTTCATTCTTTGTACATGAACATTAATTGGTAGCAGCCTCGTATGAAGAGCTGATTTGTGTATGGTGAAAATTTGGCAATACAACATGGAATTACCAAAAATTAGAAGTTTTAACAATTAAAATTTTAAGACTTTTATGAAATCATTTAAATATTTTTAATAAATTAATATATAAAAAAGATTTATTAAAAATATTTAAATAACATTAATTGGTAGCAGCCTCGTATGAAGAGCT